GGCCTCTCTGTACTGTAATTAACGATTGTAGGAAGCAGGCCCACCTCAGGGATGCAAAAACTGGCATCAGAGGTCTGAGGCTCACTCCCGGCCCCAAGTCTAGTCTCACCTCTAGTCACTTGGTCCAAAGAGCCCTCCCCTCACGCCACACCTGTGCCCACGGAACTCTGGCCTGACCTCCCAGCCCGGCTCTGCCCAAGCCATGCCATGCCTCCTTCGGGCCTCAGCTCAGGCACCCACAGGGGGCCTCCCCGACCCCTCGCCCTGCCCGCCAGTGTGCGCTGTGCACGCCCGAATGACAGGCCGAGAAGGCAGATGCAGGCCAGACACACCGACTCCTGTGGCTTCTCTAGAACCACAACGCCCATCTGGGGAGAGGACAGAGCCCGTCGTCAGCGTCCGGCAGAACTTCCCCGAAGACCCCAGAGGGACAGAGAGATTTGGGGCTGGGGAGGGAGCACAGAGGGAGGCACCTGAGGAAAGTTGGGAAGGCCCTGGCCAGGTGGCTCAGTTGGTTGGAGCATCATCCCACACACCAAAAGGTTGCGAGTTCAATTCCTGATCAGGGTACATACCTAGGTTGTGGGTCCCATCACTACTCGGGGTGCATATGGGAGGCACCAGATCCGTGTTTCTCTCCCATCAGTGTTTCTCTATCTCTCTCTGTCTCTCCCTTCCTCTCTCTCTAAAATGAATAAAAACATATCCTCTGCAGACCTTCCTCTTCCAAGCCTCTCCGTGCTCCCGCCCAGGACAGAAGCTTCATTTATAGCAGCCGTCGGCAACCGGTGGTCCGTGAGGTCCGAAAGGTTGGCGACCGCTGGTTTATAGAACCGGGAAATGCTACTGCCTCAGGGGTTTCGGTGAGAATTAAGTAAGAAGCTGGCCCTGGCTGGTGTGGTTCAATGGATAGAGCGTCAGCCTGCAGACTGAAGGATGTGCCCTGCAGACTGCCTGGCGCACAGTAGGTGCTTGTGACGTGCACGTTCCTCTCCTTACGTAATTTCTGTGCTTCGACCGCACTGCTCTCCTTGCCGGCTTCCCGCTGTTAGGTTTTGCTCATGTGCGTCTCTATCCCACACCCCGAGTCTTGCGTACGGAGACAGTTCATTCACGCCTGCGTCTGGCACGCAGGACGCACGCAGGGAGTCTGCCGCCCTGAACGGCGGAAACTGCTAGGATGTCAGGCGGATTCGGACCCCGGCAGCCGCCTCGCCTTCTGCTAGAACCCGTGTGACCTGGAGAACGCCTGCTCTGCGGGGTCGGCAGCCACTTCACAGATTACAGATGGGAACTGAGGACGCCAGCAGACCAGGAAGCAAGGCTTCCAGAACGTTCCACCTCCCACTCCGGAATGGAAACATAACCAGGGAAACAACGGCACTAGCCCAGGGGAAGCAGGGCGTGCCGGCGCCTGCGGCCTACCTGGTAGCGGGGGTGGAAGCCCATGTACTGGTGGCACTGCTCGCAGTGGTGGTAGGTGTTGTGGGCCGCGTACTTGGACAGCCGCATCCGCGCCGTCTGGCGCCGCACGAACAGGTCCTCGGGCTTCCTGGGCGGCCCCCTGTCTGCAGGGAAGCCCAGCGTCATGGAGCCGCACGGGCAGGTGAGCCCCTCCCGCCACTCACACGGACACGAGCCGAAACGCTACTGTGGGGTGGGAGACGGCGAACGAGGGTGGCCCCAGGCCATCTCCGCTCCGTGCTGGTTGCTGCCCCTCGCTCAGGGCCCCCAGGGGACGGAGCACATCCCTCACACGTACGGCTTCTCCCTTCCAGAGGCTACTCCCACGCCCTGGGAGACACACAGAGCCTGACCTTCGCTCTTGGCGCCCTGGTGGTGTGAGCAGATGAGGCTGGCGTCTTCGTACTTGGGGTCGTGGACCGTGTAGTCGAAAGGCAGCTTCCTGAAGAGCTCCAGGTCCGGCCAGGGGTCGCTGAGCTGGAGGTAGCGCCACTCGGATTCCTCTCGGAGGTCTATGGGGTCAGGAGACACGGGACAAAAGGGAAACAGAGAGAGGCTTCAAGTCCCGGCTTCGTTCTCGGTCTCTCCGAGAAAGGAGGCAGAAACGCAACAGAAACAACGTTCCACACTGTGGAGACCGTGGGAAACCCAGAGGTGGAAGGAGACCCCCAGCTGCACGGGCTCCCATGTTCCGAACTCCCCCCGAAACGGAAGCAGAGTCGAGAGCATCTGCAGGAGCTGCGTGAGGACACGGGGGACCCCTCTCCTGAGGCTGAGTGATACTCGACTGCACGTGTTAGGACCACGGGCCATCGGATCCCTAACGGCCACTGGACAGCTTCCCGCCGCAGGAGAACGAAGAGCAGCGGGAAAAAGCCAGCTGGACACCAGGGGTCAGACCACGTCAGGAGCGGGACCTGTCCTGCAGGCACCTGACCACCCGCCTGCATCCCATCCGCATCCCAGGCCACCAGCTCCGCCCCCGGACCCACTGGGGACCGAGCGTCCCGCCCTGACTGCGCACGAGGATGGAACTCACCGACATTGATCTCTTCCTCGTCATACACGTCCACCTCCGTCAGCCGGATGAGCATCCGGGACAGGATGCTGAGGAACTGCAGGTAAGCGCCCGTCTTCCCGATCTGCGAGCACGAGCGGGTGGCGCCCCAGTCAGTGCACCCGTCTCCGCGCCAGGAGCACCCGCCATGCCTCATGGCACCTCCCTCTTTTATGACAACTTTTTTAAAGTCCTCACCCGAGGATATTTCCCCATTGATTTTGAGAGAGAGGGAAAGAGAGAGGGAAAGACAGACAGAAACATCCATGTGAGAGAAACACATCGACGGGCTGCCTCCAGCATGCGCCCCAACCAGGGTCCAGGCCGGGGAGGAGCCTGCAACCAAGGTACATGCCCTTGACTGGAATTGAACCCGGGACCCTTCCATCCGTAGGCCGACGCTCTATCCACTGAGCCAAACAGGCTAAGGAGGCATCTCCTCCTTTTAAAGATCTCGACTAATTAAAACGAGAGCCGGCGGGTGCAGAGACAGTCGAGGGGCAATGGGGCTAACGAGGCGGGGCAGGTGGGCGGGTGGACTCCCCAGCCAGAGGCCTGCCTGCGTATAAACCATGGCAAAGGTGTCTCCAGTTTTAACGGCGGCATTTTTTAAGCCACTGGAAATAGGACATGGGCATAAGCTGAAGAAAGGCTGCTTCGGAGAAAAGAAACTGCCAACATAAAACATTTCTTCAGTCTTGCATAACTGCAAACACTAGTCTTGTCTTCATCGATACGTCTATGGTTAAGAAAACAGAATTCGTCCGCAACACCTAGAAAGGCCACATCTCCCCTAAGCCCCGGAAGAGAGAGCAAGCAATTCTTCTCTCCTTCTCTTTCTTGTCGCGTCACGGAGTCCCTGCCCCTCAGGCGAGCGCCGGGCGAGTGTACGATTGGTCACAGCTGGTTAAACAGGACCTGTTGGGTCCCCTACAAAGCTGGGATCCTGACAACCTCCTGCCTCCCACTTCCGTGTCCCCCACATCCTCCCGTGTGAGAGCAAAGATCCCACAGCCGGGCCCCAGGGCCAGGGAAGTGACATGGAAAATGCCGAACCGCAGTCTGAAGGCCCGAGAGGCACCCCGAGAACCCATCCGCCCCCCGCATCATGTGGAGGAAACGAAGATGAGAGGACGGAAGTCACCAGGCCCTGACCCCTGTCCACCGCCCACGTGGGGCCATCACAGAAGCTCTGCCGCGAGAATGGCAAGATGCGCATAAGGGGGTGCTGTCAGCCCTACGCTGCCTCTGGGCCTGAGCACAGACCCCCACCCCCCGAGTCCAGGCCGAGGTGGGTGCCCTCACCTGCGGGGGCCCAGGGAGCAGCAGCC